CTACATGGCTCTGCTTATAAATAAAATTCAAATTATATCATTGGTAAATATATATCTGTATTCAATTAGTAGACATATTTAAGATCAAAATTGAAAATAAAAACACCCAGGAGGCATTGGGTAACTGATTTGGTAGTGGTACGCTACACAAGTTTCCAAACCAAGACCCTATCATAGACTATTTTCAGGTGGAAAGTATATCCCATATTAGACCAAATTGTGATTTAGTATACCTAATTATAGACCAAAGCCTTACCACGAGCTTTTTACCGGGACTTTCCTCTGGGCTTTTCGCCTTTTTCAGAAAATCGTTAAGATTTTACCTTTGTCAGTCATTTCGATGGGAAATTAAAAAATTATAGACATTTTCGACCAAAACAGTTGCCATGGTTACTCTACATTAGATCAATTTGTACGATATATTTATCCCATGTTATACCAAACTGCCGAAAAAAGACACGTTTGCACGTTCCCATGTCGTTATTTATATGGAGCCCCCCCCCCTTTCCGGAGGGACAATGGAAGAGGGTAAGTTGGTTCAGGGAAGAAGTTCGCCCGCCCTAGCAGTTTACTAAATAATTTAGTTACATTATTTTAAATTACGTACGTGATCCAAAACATATTATTATTGAAAATGTGGTAGGTAAAATGCGATCAAGTCAATCGAAGTTATGTAAATTGTTCACCTAAAAGCTGACACCTGCGCTCAAATTCATTTCAAAATAGTGTTGTTTTATTTTAAAAAAAGGTCTGATAAAACTGACAGCTCATGTCGAGGCTCGTGTCGTGAACTCACAATGTATGACCGCATCCACCTGTGAACACGTTTTAAGACAACAAAGAAATAAAACAAACATTGAATTTTATTAGTTGTAATACTCACGCTTCAAGTCCAGTTGTTGGAAATAAAACACTGCGTGTCGAACTTATTGTCGTCCACCGTACGTTTGTCATGCTCAATATACTTCAAGAATACGTCACGACAATATAATTTTTTCTGTGCCCCGGCGTTATGTCTACACTTTACCAACGCATTTTCCATTCACATGAAAAGTTTTGTTTTCGAGTGCAATATTTATTTTTTACTAACGCTACGCGCTTAAAAAGTAATTACAAATACACTGATTTTAATACAAATAACAGTATGTATATCTGTGAAACGAAGAACAAACTCGGAATGCGTTTCATCAAACATCTATGTTAGCGTCTATGTACTACAGCATAGAACTTATTTTTAGTTCCATGACAACACGACGGAGATACATATATTTCAACCACTACATACACAACATTGTCTCAATCAGAGGAATCGAGTCTCGAATCCAGAAGACCAGCTGCGAAAACAAGTGGAATCCATTTCAGATCCGTGTAAAATAAACAATTGAACCGCCTTATTACAAGAAAGCTCACAGCTTAGAATACTTAGCGCCCTCTATCATCTGTAGTGTGTATATTATGAAACAATCGCCTCATTGTGCATGTTTGCCATTTACAATCTCAGGTGCCCAGCTCAAATGTTCATACATCCATGAGTCAAAGCTCAGAATGATACACAAAACATATTTAAATATCCTATATGATTGGCGGGAAAAACTAGTGTGATAAACTGGTACGTACATTGTCTCTAAAATGATTGGCTGAAATTAACTAAATGTGATTGGTCGATTCATAGTCTTGCCGGATCTCAAAAATACATGAAGCTCGACAAACCGTTCACGGCAGTTAGTTATTGTACTGTACTACAAACTGTTTATCTTGTTTAAACTTTGATGCAATCAGTCAAGGGACATTATATTTATGGTTCTGGAGTAACATTCTTTAAATTACTAGATTTGTAAAATAAAATGAAGTGCACCAAGGACAACATAATGTTCAATTTATTTTGAAAGTTTGAAACATGTATAACCATGTACCGACATCTCGGCATACGACTAATTCTAGAAGCATGTTCATACCCATACTTCCATACTGCATCACCATCATCCAGTGGAGGGGGTTACCCCCCCCCCGGCGTTAACGTATATTCAAGAGTTGATGACGTAAATAATAAGGCTTATAGTCAGTGGAATTAGAACTCCTACGAACAATACCAACGATCCGGGTTGCCTTGGTTACAATTCCACTCATTTGATCCTTAAAATGAAATTTTGGATCAGTATAAGAAGTTTGTACAATAGAATGGTAAAATCAATTTGCAGTTATGCACACAAAGAGAATAACTAAACTAAAAGTATTTTTTTAGATGAACAAATAAAGAAGTCCTGACATGTCAACTCTAATCGAACAAGTACAATCTGTGATGTCATGGTATATCCCCATAGGGCGGATTTCTATTGCACACATAAATGGAAACTCCGGCTTTGAGTACAGAAAAAACAAAAATTATGGTTTTTAATAAAAAAATAATAAACTCCATGACAGTGCGTTATTATTCTTTGAAGGTAATGAGATTAACATCGTGCGAAATTATAATTATTTAGGTTTTGTTCTTAGCCCTAATTGAAAATTTAAAGCTGCTATGAAACATCTGAAATACAAAGGAATGAAAGCATTATTCTCTTTGAAAGCCAAATTAGGTCATAATGAAAGCCTCAGTCCCTCACATTGTTATCATTGTTTGATAAACTAATAAGACCAATTCTTATATATGGATGTGAAGTCTGGGCTGAAGAAAGTTCATTCAACTATACTATAACAGATTTACATCTCAGCGTCTACAGCTTCATCATAGGCTTTTCAAAGACACTCAAAAATTGTGAATTTATAG